ATATATATATATATAGTAAGAATTAAAATTTGCATAAAAAAACTTAAATAATTCCTCTGAGGGTGTGGTCAGCAAGCGTATTGTCATCGAATTAAGCAAGTTCAGGTGAAGGCGTTTAATAATACGATTAAAGTATATTTTCTATATGTAAAGTAAACATGACTTTAAGAAATGATAATTATAGTATAGCTAGGTATTGACGACAAAAAGGACACCTTATGTAGAAAAGCTCTGCCTAAGAAAATAGGAAACAAAAAATATTCTTAAATATGTAAAGATACATCACTTGAAACTAAGATAAGCATTTTAATGCATTATACTCCTTGTGAGCTCCATGGTTTAGTCATGATATAGTGACAGAGAATGTTGGTGTTTGCGTACATATAGATACTTCACTAATTGTAGTATTTAAGCTTAATTGTAACCAATAGTTTACTAACAATATTTGCATTATAGCGTTTAGGCTATGACATGATAAATATTAATTTTCTAGTTTTGACAAAACCCTTCATTTCTTTACACATTCTACAAAAGATAACATTAATGCACATTGAGATACTTACAAATACTTCAGGCTCCGCAATCCATAGAATGCATTTATTGGTAATCTTTGTATATTTTGATAACTTAAGTCTCTAAAGAAGAAATATGATATTACATGTACTATTTTTTATTAACATAGAGATATTTCCCTTACTGTTCGTAATATTTATGGCTAATTATCAAATGTCTTTTAATTAAAGATAGTGAACTCTTTGATTTACCCTCCAAATTCAAGTTATTGAGGGCGAACGGGGTGTCTTTATAGGGCCTCTAAAATTGCAATGGATAATAATGCTATGTGTTATTCATAAAACATGCTGGAATCAACCAAAGAAAATGTACACAACGGTGTCGATCTGGGTAATGAACGCAGTGTGGCAGATACATTTCGATTGAGTTGATTCAATCGTAAACAGGAGAATGTTCGATTGAAGCAACTCAAAACGAACGAACGAACTTTGCCATGCAAACCTTTAACTAAAAATCATAAGGCTAGACTCATGCTGTTAATGCCTAGTAATAGAGGTAGTTGTAGTAATAGTGTACAGTAGTAGCAATGGTAGTGGTGGTGGTAATAGTGTTGGTGATGTCAGCGTTCGATTTCCAGCATTTGTTATGCTATTTGTGTGCTATGCACTTTTAGTTTTGTGTAGCAATTCCAAAAATGTGCATAGCATTTTTTTTTTTTTTGCGGTGATAATAAATGATTATTAAACAAAAGAAATAACACTTTTCAATAAGAAAATCACAGTGATGCGTCTTTATTTTTCAACACTAAACATTGAAACACACTCCATAACATTCCCTTGCAAATTTCCCATCAATAAATATTATGCCCACCCCGTGCAGAAGTCGAACTGGCCGTGATTACCAATTTACCGACCATGTCGATACTGCTACTGCAGTACTGTCCCGTATTCGCTGTAAGCAATGTCCGGCCCCCGCGTCCGGCCCGGTTTCAAACAGCGGGAGTAACAGCGCCGAGAAAAAAAGTAAGATACTGTATTTTGCATGCTACACATCTACACGTGCACGACGTAGGCCTACCTACTGCGCTACTACATTGTGTAAGCCTGTTTTCCACTTGGCGATCCAAAGCGTCGGTTCGCTTCCTGAGCTCTGATTGATTGCGCATTTTTTTTTTCGCTCCTCAAAAACTCCGAAACAAATGTGAATGCGCATGCGCATAAGCCGACGATTTCAATTGTGCGAATAAATTTTTCTAGTAGAAAACTAGAAGAAACAGAACGGATGGAGTGGCGAAGTATGAGGTAATATTGTAAACACAGGAAAGAAGCCCGACTCATACTCAAACCAGCTGCATGAACAGCATTGTATGTGTGCACTCGATGTAAACAAGCATATTGCGCTATTTTTGGTCCAAAACATTGTATAACAACTTTTTAAAACAATTTTCGGGTCTTTTTTGTGTACCAAGCCTCTTAGTTTTTGACTGAGTCTTTAATTCTAGGCAAATAATTGCGTCGCATTTTATTTTGATGCGTTTGTGTAAGTGCTTCGCAATTAGTTTAAAACGCGTCGCATTTTGCGATACGAGACTGGGTAAATCGAACGCTGGATGATAGTGTTAGTAGTATATTTATAGAAAGCAATAATATCATAATATAATTCACTTACAATGTTGTTAAAGAATCAAGCCCATCAAAAGCATCAGCTTCGATATTCTCGATTATATTTTTCGTCAAATTCCTAAATAAAGAGCAAGGCCTATTATGTTTATAGCTTAGTACTTAACATTAATATTTTCATGATCTATCTACAGAATTAACTTGATTCTCTGTTGAGAGGAAAAATTGTTTTTATAACTAGCCATTCTCAGGGCCTACAAACAATAGAAATATTTATTATAACGGCTAAATAGTTTTTACATTATTTTGTGATGTAGCTATAATGAACGATCCATGTCTTTATATTTTTGATAAAGTGGTATTTAATGTTCCTATTTCTATCTATGGTGTCCTGTTCACCTTTAAGACATCCGTCACTGGACATCCAACAACGAACATTCTTGGAGGTTTCATAGGCTACATGGTTCAATATACCAACATTAGTTTTTTTAAAGGAAAACCCAACATTATTTTTTTTAAAGGAAAACCGGCTTTTAACACACACATCTGACACTATACGTCTAAACTCACAAATAACGAAGATTGGAAAGTCCTTGGAATGCACCTTTCTTCAACGTGGTGATCTTGTTCTCTGATAAAATTCTAAAAGAAAGCAAAATCAATCAATGGTTTGTATTGTTGGTGTGGTTTGATGAAACTATGCTTGTTGAACCATTGCCCATATTTACTAACAATAAGTACAGCAAGCATTATATTCGTAGGTGTTCAAGTCATATAATAACTATACCACACAATATTCACTTCACAAAACCCCCCAGAGGCGCTTGAGAATGAGGAAAGAAAATTTACCGGTACCTAAAACATTCAAATCAAAGATTGAAGATCACTTTATTGTCCCATTTCTAAATAGAAAATTTGTCTTTCTCTTTCAACATTAGAGTTAAAAGGATATAAATTATACGCGATTCACAAGACATGGAAATGGCAAAAGTTGACATGAAGGTTTACAAGTTAAAATATTCAAATAGTTATAAAGTAAACAGGTCATAATTTATTATAATTATACGTCATAAGCTAATTAAACAAAAAAAATATCATGAACTAATTACTGCTTTGTTGACCAGCACTTAGAAGACTGGAATATAAGCTATATGCAACATAAATAAAATATAACAATATAAATAAAATAAAATCAACATCAACCCAACTTACAATCTTTGTAAAAAAAACATATCCTTAAAATACCCGTCACCGATGTCCATCAAATTGTTCCGACTTATGTCTCTAAGAAAAAAAAATACATTTGTAATAAATTTTACTCAATTTTCTCAATTTAAGCTCATGCTGAGGGCCCAACACATTTTACTAACAGTAGTCCTATGACAGGTCCCAGAGAAGACAAAGAGGGCCAACCACTCCCCATCGTGTTATGCAAGTTTCAAGTCTCTTTCATTTTAGTTAAAAAAATGGCCTCCGGCCAATTTCACAAAATAAAATCAAAATAATTTTCAGACACACAGGCTTTTCTATTTTCAAAGGATTTTTCTAAATAAATTGCTAAATACTGAATTTGATTAATATCTCTATTAACTAATATATTTTTAAACGAATGTACATCGTTAGGGATATATAAATATTTCTTTCTAATGTTTTTATAAAATGGACAGACAAATCATAAGCCATGCTGTAAGTTGTAGCACTTGTTTCTTTGTATGCAATAAATATTGCCATGCCATATAAAATTAACAGTATACATTCAGTCTCCAAACGTCCCACTTTGCCAACAATTTCCAAAATAAATACTGGTACGTCCCTTTGCCATGTCTGCCCATTTCAAAATAAAAGCCCGCCTCCGAATACGAAAATAAATGGTGAATTAAGAAGTACATTGAAAATTCTATATAGGAATACTTACAGAAACGTTATTGCCGTCACGTTACTAAAAGTGCTTGACTCTAGTACCAATTCTGTCCCTGAGAATTTCCTATGAAGAAGGTTTCATAGATAACATAAACTTGTAACTCAAGTTATAAACCATTATGCACATAATAAATATACAAAGTCAAATGGAGCCGAAATATGTATCATATCATTTTATATAATCTGTCAAATCCTAAAAAGAACAATTGAAAAACTTCACGGTATCTCACTTACACCTTAATTTGTAATTACTTTCTTCATCTATGACATTTTTGTTTCAAAGAAAATTAATATCATGACAAATTAATATATAAATAACATATACAGAATAACATATTTGTAACACTATATATGTTTAGGGACGCTTCGATGAAGTCCAGGCCGACCTCGACCTTCTAAGTCTGTTCCATGTTAACTTTGGCATTTCAATTTTGAGGGGTTGGGGGAACTTATGTCTCGATTACAGCACCTCATACGGTATCCAACCTTAATTGAAAACCACAATACGGTGACGGTCATTGAACTACATATAGCTGTTTAAGGCATCGCTAATAACAAAGTCATACACATTTATAAAATGCGAAAGGTTTTAAATACATTTTATAACTATAGAAATACAGGATTACCTACATTATGTTCATATCTTTCAGCTCCTTGAAGTCCAAAGTACCATATTTTAGATCGTTACAGTCAACAGTCTTGTCGTTACAAATACAATCGGGTATTGAGTAGAATTCAAAATCCGTACCGCATTTCCCATCTAAAAAATAACATTTAATTGAAAACACAACTACATTACATTACAAAAATAATCAAAAAATCTCAAAATACTATTACACTACAACAACAACAACAACCAGACAGTAATTTAATTTACTTTTGGCAATCCTGTCATGTAGATTTTGTTGTTACTTATTATTTCCCCACATTTCTCTGTATACTATAATATGTAGGCTATCAGTGACGAGATAAATGAAGTAATTAGAATAAAAACTACTATACTATTACCACTACTACCACTATTACTACCTTAACTTACATTACTACCGCTATGGTACTACTACTATACTAGTAAGTATTTTTTTGCTATTATTTTGGTCTTATTTGACCTAATATGGTCTATATTATTAATATAGTTTTAAATAGTATGATTTAAGGTTGTTTTGTTTAAAATATACGTACAGCAATTAACCTCATCATCGTAAAATAATAGGCAGTCAACATGTACGTCACATACTCTGAAGTCTGGTATACAATGAGATTTCTGACACTTGTAATATCCCGCTGGACACTCAAAGTCCTCTAAAAGCAATCAAAGTCCATTAATTTGGAAAGTTATATTTCACATGTATCTAATGTACTGCATTGCAATAATAAAATTATAAAAAATTAAATAAATAAAATAAATGGCCATAGATTATAATATATGTATATAGTTGTTAGTTATTGGATAATAGGCCTGCTCTTCTGATACATTTCATCATTAGGTAATAATTAGGTATTGAAAACGAATTGAAGTTTAACATTAAAATACAAAATCTCATATACAAAAAAAAAAAACCAAAAAACAAAGAAGTAAAGCGAAGAAAACTAACAACAATGGACAGGGACACCTTATAAAAGATTAATACAGTAAAAGTAAAAAAGATAAAACATATTAAAAACAATGTATAACAATTGGAACTTGAAACAATCAAGTATCAAAAGGCCATGTGAGAAATATATATTAGATAATGTAACACGATAAATTTAATTTAGAATATGTTTTTTCCCGAAATATTGTTAATTTATTGAAATTAAACATATTGTAATCTTTCAGGAAAAACAATTCAACTTTCTAAATTGATTTTGTATGGTTTTGTGGGAGCTTTGGGTTAATCTAAGTCTTTAACATGCGAATTACTAATTACATACCACATTCACGTAAATGAGAATTGTCCCGGCATTCCTCTGAAGAATAATCTCGAAAGCATTTTTTACTCTCATCAATGCAGCGACCATTGTTGCACTGAAATTCATTTTGTTTACAACTTTCAAAATCTATTTCAAGAAAATAAATATAATAGATATCCATTTAATTTAGGAATAAAATACAAGCTTAACAGCTA